AAGTGTAGTGTAAAGAGTATTTTCCGGTGAGACGCTGATATGTGGTCAACAGTTATAGGTATAGCCTGAAATACTACTACTAATCATCATTCACTACTTTTAAAATCGTTTCAGTCACATTAAAATCACAATTAAAGCTTATTTCAGCTGCGCCCTGATTTACAAAAACTGTCAAATTATAAACACAGAAAGTTCAATAGATGGATGTTCAAAAGAAAACATATGTATGACTGAAGCAGTATGTAAGGATGGATTGAAATAATATCAAAATAAATGAAAGGAAAATACAATGGAGAAGTCAATAGATAAATTAAAATAAAGTAAACTGCAAAAAATTAAATAAAAATAAATGTCTAAAATGTGTTGTTTATTAGTTTATACTTCATTTTGATAGTTTTGGCCCTCCATACAAATATCTTTTGAATACCAAATTTTAAATTTTATGAGCAGGGAAGCATCGATCTTAATCACACTGATGTCTCAGCAAGTCTCTGGATACCTCAAGGTAAGTTCAGCTGTTACTGCCCCGAGGATGCTTTTGTAACAATAACTAATCACATCACTACAGAATAAAAACAAAAACAGTCATTTTCGCGGTTTTATTCCAACAACAACAGTGCCAAAAAAAATTGCACAGTTTGCTCATTTACAGTCACATCAGATAAAAATGTGAGAGATATAAAAACATCAAAGCGACTGATTTTGACACACCGACACAGAAACCTGAGGATTAAATACTCGTCCACGCCAGAGCCTCTTCAGAAAACGTGAATAAACAAAACAAGGCATTTCCAACTGCCTGATGTATGAGCATGTGTTAGAGGACTAACTAGTTCTGCACAACGAGGACCAGCTAGCAGGAGGTTACAGGTATTAAAGTCACTGTAGGCAGAAGCAAGACAAGTGGAACCACTGAACTGTAAAGCACTTATAGACTGCAGTAAGAACATTTCATATCACCAGGTAAACACTGTTAAACATCACAAGTTTGTACAGAAGATGATTATGAATAAAAACAATCAGCTGTCTCTGATGTTGTTTCTTTGGCTGTCACTTAACAGCAAAAAAAGAGATCAAGGATGTGTGTCGTTTAAAGGTTTTTGTGTTTGTTCTGGGAAATACGACTAAAACTTTCACCACCAGGGGGCAGCAGTTTACCAGCCTTTTCCTTGGCTGCCACTGTAAATAGGAATGTGCTTTTTATTGATTAAATGCAAGGTTACACCAACTCGCTGCTCCCTCTTTTGGTACGTACATGAAAGTACAGCCAGGCCACAGTTCAGCTTCACTTCATATCTCTTCAGCACAATACAGATAAAATCAAAGTTTCTGCAAATGCTGATAACTTTTAACACTTGAATTTACAGTAAGTACCAGTAAAATGGCTGATTTTAAGACTTTAAATTACTGCGACATCTTGAAGCCTCTAGTCTGTTTTTAGGGGTAAAAGCAGCTCGGGTTTTGGCAGCTGCACAAAGGATGTTTCCAGAGATCAATCAGAGTGAGTGTCACCTTGGGAGCCAGAGAAGCAAGCTCATTAAAAAAAAAAAAAGAGAAAAAGAAAGATGCAGTGGGATGCAGTAATCTGGTGAAAACTTCTCTTACTGTGGTTCAGTTCAGCAAGAAGACAAACTGATGTCTGAAACTGAAATTATAACAAATCTTTCTGGACAATGAAAACGACACCTTGCAAAAGACTTGACCTCTATTTAACTTTTACTAATGTTTCAAACCTCAATGAGCATCTTTAGAGACCTAATGAAAGGATGGGGTGATGCCATTTTCAAAAGTTCATGAACTCGTTCCCACCCATCAGCAGGCACAAGCTCCTGTAAGCAGCTACCAGCACTCCGAACATTAAAATAAATGATGCTCAGAAAGCAGGAGAAGCTGGAAGATTACAGAGTGTAATGAAATTAGGAAAACGCAGATAAGAGGAAGAGGAGAGGTCAAGCTGCTGACTAAGTACTGGAAGAAAGTAATCCTGTTAAATATAACAGAAATGTGTCAGTAGCTGGATGAGAAAACAAACAAAAGCTCATATTTTTAGCTGTTCACACAAATTTGCATGCCTAAAAAAAATAAAAAAAATAAAAATAAAAAAAATCACTTTGAACAGGTTGACATTTAGGATGTTATAAACTCTATTCTGCTTTCCTGTATTTCATACCAAGCATGATGAAACTTTCAAATAAAGAGATAATCCCCGTTCTCTGAAAATACCATCTTAAGACTGCTCAGAACACTCAGTTTCAGACAGTTTGTTTTTTAAGTTTGCAACTGTATGACATCATAAAGAGGGTATATCCAAATTTGGGGACATAGAAGAACCACCTACCTGCTTTTTCAAATCTGTTGCTAATGAGGGCCTTAAAGGGAGAGGAGTTAAAACTGGCCCAGTGTAAGATAAAGAAGAACTACTTTGAACTGTAAATCATGCAAAGCTGCTACAGAGGAGTCCAAGAATAAAAAATATGAAGTTGGAAATAAGAAAAGGTCCACTTTAACTGCCGATTTTGGCTATAATAGGAGACATTGTGGCAGCAATTCCTGCGCCTATTTTATGCAATTTACACAAATTGAGTTTTTTTTCTGGAGGCTTCCACAGAGGGATTTGGAGGAATAACGTGCCCTTCTATTCAAAGGTCCTTTTACCTGAACTGAAGCCATGCTGCACATTCATATATATGACAGATGCTCTATAAAGAGAATGCATCAGTTTGGCACACTGGTTTCAAGTGACAGCATTTCAAAATAGAACAAAATAAAATGAGAATTTGATTTCCTGCTTTATTTCAATCCAAATGTTTTACCTTTATGTTGAATGTATTCCAAGAGCTTCATCACATTTTTAAAAAACACAAAACCCACCAAATTTGAAGTAGCAAAATGTCCCCAGAACAGCAGTTGTCTGTGTGTGGATTACTCGGTGCGAGAGTGCATGTGGAAGGACGTGATCACAGTGAACACCGATACAAGTCACAAGTCTATTTATAGAAAACATAACTCTCATCGCTACTAATTTGTTCTACAAAGTTGTGTTTGCCACCGATTCACAGCGAGGCAGACGATGTGCATCTCAAAGCACTAAAACTATACCAAAAACGCACAAGTGCAGAGGGAAGCTGAACACTTACACCACTGTATAAACTCAAACACACAGAGACATTCAGTGCAGGTACATTCACATTGGGAACAGCGGTTTCTGCAGAGCGTGTTGACTTCTGACTGTGAGCTTGATTGGTCCCTAAATCTTTAGTATTTAGTTACTACAGAGTCCCACATTTTAAATAAAATGTAAAGAAAACAGAGGAGCTTTGCAAGTGGACACAAAGGAGTGAAATATGCTTTACATTCAATGTAGGGCTTCAGCCAGCACAAAGCGGCTGAGATCTGAACACAAACTGCTGCTTACACAAGAAAGCAAAAAGGCACAGCAGCAGCAGCAGGATGTAAGACAGAAATAAAATAAGACACTGTTAGTACGGAGGACTGAAGCTGTCAAAATTCATGTACAACAAGGCAATGAATAAAGATCAAATTATAAAGATTAAAAAAGTAAAAAGTTGTACAACTCAATTAATGAAAAAAAGAGCGACATATTTGTCACCATATTGTTTCCCATAATATCAATTATATAGTATTTATTTATTTCCATAAAATTTTTTCCTTCCATTTATCTCCACAAACGTGTTTCTTCATTTCATCTTTATTTAGCTAAAACTGATTTTTTTCTTCATAAAAATGATGGCACTGTCATGCAGATAATTTTCCTTTCTAGCTCCAAACGCATAACTTAACTACAAACTAATAACAATGGAAGATTAAATCACAAGTTAAAAATAAAATGAAAAAAAAATCAATGTTATGAAATGTGCCATAAATTAAGTAATACTTATGTTAATTTTTACTTATTAATTTTAGCGCATTTTATATCTTATTTGTTTATGAAGTTATTATTTCAGCATTTTTGGTCCTTCATAATTTTCCAGAGAGAAAGGCATGACATGAAATACAAACTCTCAGAGCTAGCTTCTTATATGCTTGAAGTTGATTTATTTTAGTTACTGAATAAAACATATTCAAGTTAGAGTGACATAGTGACTACAGGCTTAAAGTAGACTCTCTCTGCTTTAATTCGAGGGGCTGAATAAAAGTAATCTCCAAGCTATTGAGGAATTACAGCCAATTTTAGACACATTACCCCATTTCGAACTTGAATATGTTTTGGCCAGCAGCCAAAATAATGTTTGACAACATGTTTCCCTTTTTTTTGTTAAGTAATCTTGGAGCACAACACCCATATATTTATCACACAAAAAACATTTTAACTGATTAAACTGATTTAAGGTCAAACGAGTGTGAGTGAAACTGGCTTAAAAATGTAAATTTGGCAACAAAAATTGAACAAAAAGGCAACAAAAAGTCAGGCCTACATGTTATAACAGCACTCAAACACACACACAAAACTGTTTTCAGCAATGATAACAGTTTGAAGTAATTGTGGCAACAGATTTTTTCTCTATGACTCTTTCCATTCAAAAGCTTCAACATATCAGATGCTCTCTCTTCTCATTAAAACAAAAGTCTTATTTCTGTCATATTTCTTGTAAAAGGTCTCACTTCATTCATATTTTCAACCCGTATCCATTGTATTCTACTTCACACTCTGTGCAGCTGCTGAAGGAAGCAACTAGAGCATTAAATTTGTAATAATCCGCAACTGAAAATAGTCCCAAATCAATGCACCATCATTAATGTTGGTTCACACCAACATTAATGATAACAAACTTTTGTGAGCAGTTTTAGAATATTTAAATCCTCAGCAGGAAGCTGAAGGTTTGTAATGAAACAAAGAAAAATACGGAAGTCAGGAGGTGCCAAGATAAATAACATGGGGTTGGTTTGATTTTTTTTGCTGACAGTGCAAAAAAACAAAACAACTCTATCCTCTCCTTGTTAAATTGTTAAAATCCAAATCTACAAGTTCTTTTATGTTATGTTTTTTCAACGTTTCAAATATGAAATGAAAACTTCAACCAACACTCAAACATAAGATAAATACTAAACTCAACACAACACCAGCAAAAAGCAAATTCTACTTCCAATCCCAGGATTCAAGGTCCGGATATCACAGAGAACGTACACAGAAACAACACACTGCCTTCACCTCAAAACACCAACAACCACACCTGATATAGAATGAACATGTGATTGTATGCCCATAATGAAATATTTATGATTTGTTCCACCTTAAAACGCTAATTTATTTCTGCTTAGCATTCATCTCTCAAATTCCTTGGCATTTTGGTCTAACTTACTTTTAACCCATCAACAGGATTACAGCGAGTTTGGCACATAGAGATTTCTGAACACGTTTTACAGCAATGCCTTTAAAGTGCTCACTTCCTTCTCAAAATGACATGTAATATTTTTTTTTTTTTTAAAAAGCAAAAGCCCCTAAAAAGTCTGACATGTGCACGGATAAATTTGTTCTACAGGGCACTGAAACTGCCAAAATTAAAGCAAAATATAATAATGAATGCCTAGGTGATATGTAGAATAGTTGACTTCTGACCTCGAGTTTGAGCTCACTGAGATTTCGAACTTCGAACTTGATTTCGTATTCACAAACTTGGGTGCCCACATTGCCCGCTTGCCCCATGGTGTGACAGCAACACCCCATCAGGCATAAAAGGGTAACAGGGAATTGGAAAAAAATAAGATATGGGAAATTAAAATAGAAATTTCTATTTACTTTGTTATAAATTAATGAATATTTGTTTTAGGCATCTGATATAATTTTAATTCAGTTACAGATTTACTATTTATTATTTTAGCAGTTTTGATCCGCCATATGTTTGAAAATCTGGTGAAAATTCTTTTAGTTTGTTTAGTTTCTTACACTATCTCATGAGCTCCCCCTGCTGTACCCTTCCCTGAATTGCAGCTAAACTTTTTAAAATCAAATAAACAGGAAGTAGAATGTTTCTTATTGATCAGGTGTAGTAGAGATCATGGAGATTCAGACTTTCTCTGGATAACAAGACGCCCCCAAACCTGCACGTGTACACAAGCCTTCCTCAGTGCAACCCTTCATTTTGCAGCCACCGTCAATATTGTGCATCAAATAGGTGAGAACATAAACACGCCTGCTTTGGATTTCTCTAACGGAAGAAATGTAATACTCTGCCTCTGGTTTAGAGGAGGTACTACGACAGTGAGCAGGTAACAGTTAGAGCTGTAAGTCGTTGCTAAGCAGTAGGCAGTGTAAGAGTATACAGCACAGTGACCACAGTGAACAACGCCACTGTTGACACCAGAAACAACATCATGTTATAACAGTAACACCCTTTCCACAGTCTCTCATATCAGAAGCTTCACTGGTTGTGGAGCTGGCGCTCCCTGAAGGCAGAGCTATAGATATACAGAGTAAGGCAAACATGGTTTCAGGACAATCCAACAGAGCCTTATTTGCACCAAATGCTCTGAGGCCATTACACCCTCTCTTTTTAAAACACCCTGTGTAATCACCACGGAGCCTTTAGTGCTAACAGTGAGCAGGAAGTTAACCAGGCTATGTATGTCTATGGCTCCGCTCCATAGCAGCCCGGTACAGAAAGTCCTCAACCAGCCTCAGAGAGTCAGGCTGCGACTTAAGAAGAGGCATGTTATGGTGGAGATGGAGACTGAAACCAGCCCGGTGCTGTCAGAGGAGACAGCACAAGGCCAGCGGGATGAGTGACGCCAACAGGAAGTAGGTGATTCTGTAGAGGTGAAGAGGAGAGAAAGTCACCATGATGATGGCCAAGGGGAGAGGGAGGCAGGAGGTCAGAGGCAGCAGTTTACTGAAAAACATGAAGAACAAGTTAACTGTTAGCATGAAGGATCTCACTGGGAATGTGTGTGCTGGGCAGGTGTGCTCCTACCTGTTGCTGAGCTTTAAAGTGTTACAGTTAATAAGCAGCATGTAGACAAAAATTAGAGGCACGATGTATGGCCAGCAAGGGTCGGGATTCAGCTGGGTGGAATACCTGCACAGGTTCAACAAACAGAGAGCGTTAATATGGAACTCCTTATCCTAATGATCACACTCTGTACCTTTGTGTTTATTTAAGCATTCTTATAAGTCCAGAGGAGTTAACGGTAACATCACTCGAGGTCAAACCTAAAAACCCAGATAACAAGTCCAGACATTTAGGCATTTTATGCAAATAACCAAGTAGGTGCACTCTGTAACATTTTTAATATAATAAATAGTCATTAATGTGAATTTACAGGGAAAATCCAAAGGATATGCCGGTTTCTGCCCTGAACTCTGCCTCCATGACATCCACACATTTACCCATCAAATGCTTCCCTGTGTGCAAGGAAAGTAGTTTAGGGTACAGTAATGGAGC